TTAGTAAGTGATTTATAAATCCCATTTTGCTAATATGCAAGCTAAGAAGCTAGCATTCCCACTTTGCATTTTCCTTGGATATACACATAAAAGAAAATCGGGACTAGATGCTGTCCCCTAAATATCAATATTTATTGTAATACTTTTACATTTAAATAAATAGGCCTTCACTTTCCCCAAGACAAAGAAACCACAAAACTGAACTGAGCTCTTGGTGACCTAGAGGTGCAGCTGAAGGGATGGGTCTGTCCTGGAGTCTTCAGCCATGCACTCCACTGCCTGACTGCACTTGGAAGTCAGTTAGTGAAATATTTTCCCTGTCACAGTCTTTCTCGAGTCCAGCCCACTGCAGATGTGTTACAGCTTTCTATACACAGCCCGCACAGCAGATGACAGGCTGAGCTTTTACAACCTCAGTCATAAAACCAATTTCAGACTAGGCTGACAAACAAGGATTTCTCCGAAGAGAAAGAACAAGTCCATGGTATCTCTCCACGTGGGGAACTGTAGAGGTAACCTAACTTGAACACCACCAACCCCCAGCACCAGTCGTGTGTAGAACATGTTTCCAGTGTGCTTGACCAGGTACTAAACATGGTGTTGCTGGCCCATGTAAACACAAGCTCTTTGCCAAGTAAAAGTCTCTCTTACCAAGAAGAGCTGAATTTTTAATACCATAAGTAAGACAAATACTTGTTTTTAAACACAGCCAGTCTAGTTGCAGTGCCAGTTACAGACCTAATTTAAGAGCCACAAAATCACGCAGTAATGTCTTGTAATAATGAAGTGCGTTGATACATGTTGATGTGGGGATGATGATGATGGGCATGCCTGCTGCTAAGTGGATAGAATTGCTCAAAAATCTTTAAGGTTTGTCATCAGATGTGGCCTGTTGTACTACTGCTCTCATTCACTCAGTAAAAAACAGGTATTCATTGCATATACCCAAGTGACTCAGATCCTAAGCCATCAGGTGTTTTGAACAGGCTACATGCCAACAAATTTGGCACTAGAAGTCTGTGTGAGTTACGTTCTAAAATTCTCCAGTGTTACTGAACAGAAATGGTTTAGCAGATTTCCCTGTCCTTTTCACTATTATAATGATGTCCTTGTGTTTTATTTTCTAACAGCATATCACTGCAAGTGTGTGGACCCGTGGCTGACAAAAACAAAAAAAACCTGTCCTGTGTGTAAGCAGAAGGTGGTCCCTTCCCAGGGGGACTCTGACTCGGAGACAGACAGCAGCCAGGAGGAGAATGAAGTGTCTGAGAACACTCCTCTGCTCAGGCCTTTGGCCTCGGCCAGCACACAGTCCTTCGGGGCTCTGTCAGAGTCCCATTCCCATCAGAACATGACCGAGTCCTCGGAGTATGAGGAGGATGACAATGACAATGTTGATAGCAGTGATGCGGAAAATGGGATGAATGAAGAAAGTGTAGTGGTTCAGCTGCAGCCCAGTGAGGACAGGGAGTACAGAGTGGCAAACACTGTCTGAGACTACTAATGACCCATAGGTGTATGAACAAAAGGGTTCTTGAGGCTATTTACAAACCTTTGCATAGGGAATCTCTTTTAATCTGTAATCCATTTGGTTTCTTTGATAGGAGCAGCAGTTCATGTAGTAGTACTCTGGTTAAATCATTACAGGTAGATTATTTTTGATTCAGGTATTCAGTCACACATTGTCTTCTCAAAACCAACACTTAAACTGGACTTCACAATGCTAATGAATAATGTTAATAGTTTATATCAATTGAAATACCGCAGAGACTGTCTCCTGTTGAAATGGGATTTCTCTGGACGTACTTTTATTTCCATTTTGTAGCTACAACTGGGTCATCCTGAGAGCAATATTTATTATATGTAGATATGTGTTACCCCTTAGGCCCAACAAAAACTGTATTTGCATGTTTGTATAGTTTTCCTAAAAATTGTCACCACTGCTGAAAGGAAAAAGTAGAACAGACCAATATTCTATGTGCTGGTATGTTAAAGCAGAAGAAATTCCACTTTTATCTCAACGCAGTGATTCCAAATGATCCTTTGGAGTTTGCCATGGTAGCTGAGTTTAAGCAGTTCTATTGGGCAATTCCCAGGATGAGGAAACTTAGAGTATATGTTTAGTTTTGAGCAATTCACAAGGTCAGGTCAACCATAAGCACATTATTATCCCTCCTTGCTGCTACTACCTTGTGTGGTTTCCAGTGAGGAGGTGGGAGCTGGGAGATAACCGAGACAGAGGTTTTGTTCCACACAGAAAAAAAAGTTTAGGGTAAGTAATATATTGATCCTTGGCTCATATACCTCTTACTAAGAGCATTTTATGCTGCATTAGTCTGCTAAACTGTATATAAAAAATTGTTCTTTTCAAATACCTGATTTGAAAACAAGTGCTTACACCAGTCTCACAGAACTCAGTACTTACCAGTGTATCACAAAAAAGGTAGATTCTATATAATACCTCTGTAACTATGTAGAAAGTAAAACCATGCATATACTCAAATGGAGATTTTTTTATATGGCCTTGACTAAGGAAAGCTTGAAAGAATGTTAATAAACATGTTTTCCACTTTAAATATCAAAAGGACTTTATTGAACTTTTGCATCACTTGAGGCCTTGAGTACTCACCTCCATTACTGAGGCTGAAGTGCTTTTGAAGATGTGTAACGTGGAACTGTTGGGAGCCCAAGCAGATGTTTCCTGCATCGTACTGTGAATCACAGTACAAGGGGTTGCACTGACCAGTGCTATGTGCAGGGGTCGTCTTAGTTCTGCAGAAGACCTTCATTTTTGTTCACTTGTAGCTTGAGGAGGAGTTTGGACTGGCCAGAGTCTGTAGTTTGCCTGGGGGAGTGTGAAGGAGGACCAGGGTGCTCTGAGCAATTCCTGCCCAGCTGGCAGCACCTGCAGAACCACAGCCCAGTGCCAGACCCCTGGACCAGCAATGGCAGGTGAGGCTCCCAGATGTGGTTTCTGACCTTACACTCTATGCAGCCACATACTCTGCAGTGCAGATCAGTTTTCTGGGCCTGGCTGAGAGCAGGGAAAGTTTATTTTGCACAATAAGGCACAGCAAAAGGGTAATAACAAAAGGATGATTCATCTCCAAACCACTGCTGCCAGCAGCCATGGGGTAATGACAGCCAGTGTAGTGGTATATTTTCACAAGGCAAAATTCCCCTTCACCATGCAAATATCTAGGTGAGTCCAAATGGGAAAATGGTTTCTGAAAATGTAATTACTGCGCTGAAATATTTTTCTTAAAATAGGTCCCTGCTGTTGCTGTGAGTGCATATGATTATTCATTATTGTATTCCAGGAACGGTCCCCAAAATCTGAAGAGTTCCAGAACCACAAACTGACCTAAACTTTTTACTATGCTCTTATGTAATTCTAGTGCCTGCAGTCAGTTGCAGACAGTTATGCTAGGAAAATTCACCAACAAATGCATTTGAAAAAGTAATTTGAACAACACCTAATTCTTAACCAAGCAGAAGGAAACAGGTGACAAAGACCTCAAGAGAGGGGGATTGGTCAGAAAGGAACAATGTCACACTAAGGAATGTGATGACAAGTGCCTGGTGTGTGCTGCCAGCAGCTGCTCTGCCTCTGGGGTGCTGCTATAGTCAATTCCATCCACTCTGGCCCTACCATAGAATCAGCTCTGGGAATACAATATCCTCATTCCTCCTAACGAGGGAGAAACAAGGTTCTGCCGTCAAAAGGCGAGTACAACTTTGTGTTCAGACACTGAGCACAGCTTCACATGTGTTTTAAGAGGGAAGCAGATTTGCCTCCTCTGTACCAGTTACTACTGAAAGGAATTTGCTCTGTGCTCTGAGTGCGTTGGTCTGCTCCAACTTCGGCCCTGGGAGATCCAGTTCAGACACGGAGCCACTTGGCAGTGGGAGAATATGAACACTATATATAGGAAGGTTGTAGTTAGACCCAGGTCTAGTGCCAAACAGAGGAGCAGGTGCAGCTGACACCAGTTATGAAGGTGTGGGAGAAGGAGGGGAGAACAAAGGTCCTGTCCAGAAGCACCTGACTGGTTTGAGGGCCCAGGAAGGCAGATTCACCTCCCATGATTTGGGTTCAGTGGTCCTCCCATCCCACAAGCTCCAGGGTTCACCATCACAGCCCCTTGGGCCTGTATTTTTAGGAGTTCTCAGCAGAAGTAACAAATACAGGTGCAATCCTTGAAGGTAAGGGAGACCTTCCATCTGCCCCCTGTCTGGGTGAGGGGAGCACGTTCCCACCCTGGCTGTACTGACCTGGGCAGGCCACCACGCTCCTGTGCCAGCTCCAATGCCACGCTGCCTTCATCTTGTTCAGGAACGATGTATTGGGCATTCAGAGGGCAGGGGAGCCCCACACCAGAGAGCTGGATAAATGTGGAATTAAGAGATGAGAAATCATCTCCTAATTTAAGATCTGCCCCAAAGACTGCCTGGCTTTTGACGAAAGTCATATTATCACACTACTTATCTTATTACCATATCATACTACTTATATTATCATACTACTGCTGTCCTGCCAAACTTAAAACTGCACTTAGACTTCCTGCTAGTGGAGCCAGCCATGCACTGAAGGGCCTCAGAGCATTTCCTGGGTGTGAGGCAGAAAAATTACCAACAGTCTGATTTTGTTTGGTTGGAATAAATTTATTTCATCTGTCTGTAAACAAGGTGTTTTTAATAGTTATGGCATTTTTTGAAATGCATATTAAATCAGATGAGTTAGACTGTATCCCAGATGTAACAAAGTGCAGGGAAAGAAATGGACAAATCAGCAACAAGAATTTGTTTAAATCTGTACATTATCCACAAGGCCCAACAATAGAAGCAAATACTAGAATGTCCCTAAGGTAGTGCCAGTCAAAAGAAACCCTCAGAGTCAGTTAAAATCCATCTCACAATAGCAACAGTTCATTTTTTTTTTTTTTAACAATAGTATGGCACAGAATACATATTAAAAAATTCATCACAAGACAGCCAAGTCAGTTATTCCAACCACTACCATCTCCCATTTATTCTTTAGTATACAGAGTTCTGCAGTTCTTGCAATGGACATACAGGTCAGAACAGTGCCTGAACTGAGTTTGGTTACAGACATTTTCAGATGACTCGTGCACAAGGCAGCTCACTCCATCATTTCTGCAGCAAGGGTGTGACAGGCCAGATGAAGATTTTTAAATTTGAAATGGTATTTTGACAGTTTAGCTTACAAACTACCGACCTTCATCCAAACAGTGGCTTCAGAGCAGCCAAACTCTGCACCACTAAGTGATCTGGCAGAAAGACTGAAGCCAGTCATAGCTCCCAGGGTAGCTGAAGGTGGCAGTTTTCCACAATGACATTGCAGTTTCATATTAAAAAACAAAAACACCACCCCCCACCCCCCGACCCCCAAGCTGCAAATTAAAATTGGTCCTATGAGAAACTGAAACCAGACACACTCCAGCTGGTTATACCAGGCTAGCTAATGGCCACAGTGGCAGCCTTGCACAAGTCAACTACAGAACAGGAGCTGGCAAAAAAAAAAAAAAAAAGTGCCTGAGCTATTGTAATGATGGAATGTCTGGGGAGTCCTTAGGATGGTGGTTTAAGGTCATGGGAGGAAGTACATCTGTACCCTTTCATAGTTTTGTGATTGCACTTGTTAAGCAGTACAATCTTCAGACAACACCAAGAAAAAGTAAGAGACTTAAGCCTACAGTGAAGTGCAATGACAAAACTAATGTGACATTAATAGCTTTTGAGTGGCAAATTGGTTAAACAAACCAGGCACTATAAAAATGGGTGTAAGCAAACACATGGGTTTAAAAAACAGAAACGAAGAGAGGGACAGAAATGAAGATATGCACACACTTTTTTCCTCCCAACCGTGCTCTGTGAAAGGAAGACTAGTGAGCTGTGACTTGCTCAAAGTGCTGAAGAGGCATTGATCAAATTAGATTGTACAATCGGCACCTTGTTTAGTATCTCAGTTGGTTTAGCTGTCAATATCATACTAATTGCTAAGACAAAGCAGAGCCTACACTTGGCATGTTCCCCTCCCAAGTTTCAAGTTATCATGCATATCATCATCATGGTGGTGCCAGATGGGCTCGGTTACCTACAGTGGTTACAGAGATGAACAAGGGGGAACTGGAGTTATGACAGTAGGAAATGGGTAAATAAAAAACACAAACTACCATCTAGGGTCTGGTAGCACTGAGCACAAGCGGGTGGTGCTGCAGACAGCTGCTAGGTGGATGGGGAGAGGCTGCTCAGACATCAGACCTCCTCAGGTATAAAGCCAGTTCATATGCTTTCTTGTCGAGTGTCCCACCATGGACACCTTCCTTTCCCATGACTATAACCAATGCTGGAGTACACAAGGAAACAAAACAGAAATGAAAAGAATTAAAGGGAAAAAAAATAACACCTTTCCCCACCAACAAAGGGATACAAAGGAGACACAGGTTCATACCCCATCACCCTGCATTGCTAGTAAAGTTTCCAGAATGTAAGGTTTAAAGCTCACCGCCAGGAAAATTTAATAGCAATCTTCCCCTAATACTTAACAGTCTGCCTAACAACTAGAACCCAGAGTCTCTCAAGTATTTTGCCATTGAGTATGCCTTCTTATTCAATCCGCCTCCATGGACCCCTTCTTTGCCCATTACAAAGACCAAGACTGAAAGAGAAAAGAAAAAAAAGTTTTAAAAAGAGTGTTAGACGTGGAAATAATGCAACTTTTATTCAGTGCAATAAACACCCTCAAATTCAAGATTTAGTATTTGAGTATTAAGCTAATTTAACAGTTTTGTTAAAACAAGATGTAGAAAGGGCTGGGAGAAAGTACAAGCTACCCTCAGGGATTTTATCTAACTGTGGAAGCTTTAAGCCTGAGAAAAATGACACCAGCTATTAAAACAGCATTACAATGCCTCTCACCATCACTCAGCACCCAGCAAGGAAATCCTGGCAGCAGTTTAAACACCTGTAGGAGCAGGGGTACAGTGCACGTGCAAGCGTGACTGGAGAGTGGCAAAAGAAAATTCCCATGATCTGGAACCAGAGTAACTGCCCTGATGCTGGTAAAAAACCCCAAAGGGTGAGTTGGGCTGAGAGTTTCCATGCAATAACACAGCTATAAACCACACTTTTTGCATAAGACAAAACACAGGGACAATTGTCATACTGCGGCTCTCCCCACTCCCCCAATTCCAGCAAGGTGTTCCAGATTATCTGCTAAAAGGAACACTGGAGGCTCACCAGCAAGAGCCACTGGGAGCTGCCATGAGATATCCCCCAGCAGGGAGGGGGCACAGGGGACACTGGGCTGCCACAGGCCAGGGACTGTTCACCAAGCTGGGAATGCTGCAGCCAGTCTACCTACACGTGATCGAACACTGGGGCCTCAGGTTGCGCCATGGAAGGTTTAGGTTGGACATTAGGAAAACTTCTTCACCAAAAGGGTTCCCAGCCCTGGCACAGCTGCCCTGAGCAGTGGTTGAGTCCCCACCCCTGGAGGGATTTAAAAGCCATGTGGTTGTGGCACTTGAGGACATGGGTTAGTGGTGGCCTTGCAGCACTGCGAGAAGGGGTGGACTCCATGATCTTGGAGGGCTTTTCCAACCTTAATGACTCTATGATTCTATCTCCATAGCAATTTGCTCATAGAAGCTTAAGACAGTTCTCATTGTCATCTCACAAGTCAGAACTCTGCTTGTTTCACTTCAGTGCTGCCAACCCTCTTCCTGCATGCATGTCCTGGGCTTCAGCCTACAGACATCTGCTCTGCCTTTGGTTTTACACCTATTAGCAAAAGTCTTGTCCCTCATGAACCTGTTCCACAGCCAGCCCAAAAATGCTAGCCCAGGTGTTCCCAACATAAGGCACACCACTACTGGACATTATTTCATATCCCAGATGAGTGCCTACCCCATAACAGATTTTACTGGAAGTTAAATGAAGAGCACAAAGGAGCAGGTGTCTGAGAATGAAGCACATTTCTCAGTGGTACCAAACTGGACAGGCTTTTTCTGCCTGGAAGGACTTTAGCAGGCTCAATAGGAAGTGCAAGAAAAGTTAACGTAGAACTTTTTAGTAGGAGCAGCTCATACATGAGATTCACATCTTTGCATAATAAACTTTCCATCAAGCAATTTACAATGGGAAAGCTTACAGTCACTGCCTGTTATTAACAGACCCCTTCTGAGCTTCAGATATGAAGTGATGGAATACCAGCTAAGCCTGCTTGGAGCTGCAGCCTGCTTTTTCCTGCTTGTCACAGACCTGTGAACTACTGCACAGCCCGGTGCTGGGCTGGGATGCAGGTGGGAACAGGGATGAGTGTAATTCTCAGTCAGAACTCAGCTAGAGCACTGCCATCCACTCCCTTGCATCATTTCCCAAAATTAGCCATTAAATACAGGAGTTTGGTTCTCCTAATAGCTTGAGTCTATACTTAGGGTCACATTCCTAATTTAGCTATCTGAAGGTAGAGAAAAGGGTGCTTACCTCGTCCAGCTCTGCCTACAGCAACATTATATGTCGGCTCACCACCTTGACTCTTTGTCCTGATGTCCATTGTGCAGTCACCATCGACATACAGGCTATCTCTGATCACAGAGCACTTCTTTGCACCAAGGGTGAGACCATTGGTGAAGAAACCCTCTCGGTCTTTTCCTACAACCATATCTATTTCTCCTGGCTGTCAAAGGAAAGAGTTCAGAGTTAGCATGGAAGGGTATATTGCTGTCATTTCTATTTAGAACCGGTCCCGTCTCGTGCGGAGAGGCCGAGGCCGTGATTTCCTCTCGCTACCCGCAGGAAGTGCTCCAGAACACAGGGCTTTGTTAGGCGCAGTCTGCGCTGCTCCGCGGTGGCTGCGCGCGGGGGAGCCGCAGCCTCAGCGATTCCGGGCCCGAGCCCGTTAAACGGCGCAGGGCGCCTGCCGGAGCCTGACCCCGGGCTGGCGCGGACTCTGTCCGCACCTGTCCCGGGAGATCAGCCCGGGGCCTGCCCGCGCCCGCGGCACCGGCCCCGGCTGCGGCCCGCCCGCGGGGCCCAGGCCGCTCCCGCCGCCGCGGCCCCTCCGCCTGCCCCCGGGAAGGGCCCCGGGCCCGGAGCCTGGGGGCGAGGCGCGGGCCCGGCCGCACCGCGGCGGCCGCAAAGTGCAGCGTCACGGCGGGCCCGGCCCCCCGACCGCGGCCCAGGCGGCCCCGCTCCGCCTCGGCCGGGACCGGGGCCCGCCGCGCCCGGGGCGGGGCCGCGTGGGGCCGGGGGAGCCGCGCCGGCGGCCGCACACGGCCCTTCTCTCGGGGCGGCGGGGCCGCGGAGCCGGGCGGGCCGGGGGCGCGGGCGGGCAGGGCGGGGGAGCATCAATGGCAGAGCGCCATCTTGGCGGAGAAAACATGGAGCCGGCGGCGCGGCGGCGTCCGAGCCGCCTTCCTCCGCCGCCCGCCCCGCACCGGGCCCGCCGCCCGCACTCCCCGCACCGGGACCGCCGCCCGCACCCCCCGCCCCGGGCCGGCCGCCGCCCCCGCCCGCGGGACCGGCCCCGCGCCGCTCCCGACGCGCACAAAAAGGCGGCGCGGGCGGCCGGGCCCGCGCCCCCCGCCCGCAAGGTGCCCCCGTCCCCCGGCCCGTGGGCCCCGCTCCCGGCCCCGCTCCCGCCGGCCCCGCTCACCGTGATGCTCTGGAAGATGCCGCCGGCCGTGGCTGCCCAGACGTACTTGGCGTCGCAGTAGCCCACAATGGCGGCCTCCTGGCAGCAGCCATCGCACATCAGGTTGTCCACGTAGCTCTGCCAGCCGGCCATGATCGCGGGGCGGCGGGCGAGGGCGAGCGGGCAGCGGGCGGGCCGGGGGCGCGGGGCGGGCGGCGGTCCCGGCGGTGCGGCGGCGGAGCGGACCGAGCGCTGCGGCGGCGGCGGCGCGGCCCAGCCCAGCCCTGCGCTGCCGCGCCGGGGGCGGGGGGAGGAGGGGCGCGGCCGGCACCGCCCCCGCGGCCGGGGGGAGCGGGCCGGGGGCCGGGCCGGGGCTGCGGCCGCGCCGGGACCGAGGCCGCGCCGGGACCGATGCCCGGTGCCCTGTGCTCGGCTCTCGGTGCTCGATGCCCGAGCCCGGGGCCGCTCGGCCGCTGGAGATCGGTGCGGGCAGTCCCGGCACTGCTGCGGGGGCCGGCCCAGCCCGGCTCGGCCCGGTGGAATTGCGGAGCGGGCGGTGCGGGCCCCTCCCCGCGCCCGGCCGGGACCGCGCGGGGCAGAGCCGCGGCGGGGCCGGAGATCCGTGCGGCCGCCGCGATGCCCGCACCGGAGGCCGGCAGCGGCCGGGATCGGTGAGTACCGGCGGCGGCGCCGTCCAGCCCGGCCCGGGGCTCAGGGAGAGGCGCTGCGCTGCGTGCCCGGCGGGCGAGCCCGGAGCGGGCACGGCCGCGGGGCAGAGCGGTGCCCGCTCCCGTGCACAGACGGAGCGGCTGGCGCCCTCACGGGCCCTGGCAGTCGCTGCATTTGTGTTGTTTCCATAATCTCAGGTCTGCCTTCGCGCCCCTCGGAGAGGGCTTGAGCCCTGCCTGCCTCGCCCGTGCCCTTCATCCTCCCGGACCTCAGGGATGCGTCCCTGTCTCACACGCCAGCATCTGCTACGTTTTTTTTCCACAAGGGGTTGTAACTGGTGATTTTGTGGTTTATTGTTCCAGGTTCCACCAAGTCTCTATTGCAATAATTTAGTTCCACATTCTTTACAACACCCGAGGCTGGTGCCATTGGTTTGGTGCACTGATACATAACATTGAAACATTGAAACTGGTGGGGGCTCACCTTGCTTTTGAGCAGGGTGAGTTTGCTTTATTGGGTGACTGTTGTGATTCTTGGGGCAGTGCAGACTGGGGGGATGTGGCCTGACTGTCCATGTCAGTAGCTTTGTGGCTATAATTCAAGAAGTTAGATCTCATAGCTGAATATGCCAAGGCATAGTATACAATAAATGAATCTGCCTTTTCCTGACCTTTCCTTTACCTTTCCCTTTACCCTTCTTTACCTTAAGTCCCCAGGTATTTATTATGGATACCCCTACAGCACACTTCAGGGTTTCATTGTCCTTTAACAACCTAGTTCCGTTGCCATTGGATTGAGTGTTGTTTAGTACTAATTGCCTGGATTACTAGATACTTGGAAAAGAGCTCCTTTGTATCTTTTACCTTAACTCCATAAGGGTTTCTTTTCTCTATTTTGTTTTCACAGTGCCTTTACCCCTCTGAATTTGGACAGCCATCATCCATGTATCCCAGAAATATTTTCATGTCACTGTATCTACCAATGAGTTACAGTCCTTAAAGTTGCTTTTAGCTTTTAAAATAGCTAAAGCTTTTTGTGAAGTTTGACTTTTCTTCATCATCCTACCTCCAGAGATTCTTTCCATGGGAAGGAGAAAATGTTCTCTTCTGTCTGAAAGTGCCATTGAGGGTCGCTTCTCTGTTTACTCCTGGTCCATAGGAGGTCCCAGTTAAACGTTCTTACTAGCACAAAACGAAAAGTATCCATCTGAAATTAGTGGGAAGCTGATGAGCCCATTATTTTAGAGTTCAACCAAAATATGTTTGATTTTTTGTTGATTGTCTTCAAGTTGCAATAAGGATTCCAAATTGTGTTACTTTAATAAGTAGATTTAATGGATATAGAGACAGACATCTCGTGACCCAGGGACAGGCCTTGAGGATTTTGGAGCTGCTTATTTGCTATGATTGTCCTTTTATTAATCATCATTATCCTTTGATTAATAAGAGGTGGGCTTCTCTTGGACGGCAGGCTGCTTGGTACAAGCGTGCAGGTATCTCACACAAGAACCTGTGGATTTGCAGGACTTTAGCCAAAGGCCCTCTTGCCTGAAGGGATCTCAGCCTCCAACACATTTGTCCATCCCTTGTGCCCAGTGAGTGCCTGTGCCCTCCTGAGCGCGTGCAGCCCAGCCTGCAGTGCTGCGTGACAGAGGCAGAGACCCGAGCCGGGCCAGGCTCTGGGGAGGAGCTGCTGCTCCCACATCCAGAGCCACGCCAGGCTGCTGATCCAGGGCCTCTGTGACAGGTGTGTCACCTGCGTGTCAGACCCGAGCCGGGCCAGGCTCTGGGGAGGAGCTGCTGCTCCCACATCCAGAGCCACGCCAGGCTGCTGATCCAGGGCCTCTGTGACAGGTGTGTCACCTGCGTGTCAGACCCGAGCCGGGCCAGGCTCTGGGGAGGAGCTGCTGCTCCCACATCCAGAGCCACGCCAGGCTGCTGTGTGCTGATCCAGCGCTTTGCCTCTGTGACAGGTGTTTCACCTGCGTGTCACAGTGCAGGGAGGGCCAGGTAAGATTGCTCCTGCCTCACAGGCAGTATTACCTTTTAATAGCTGCACAGACCAGGTGATCAGTGGTGTGAGGGCTGTTTTGGTGTGTGGATTGTGTTAGCCGTACAGGGAATACAGACATCTGTTTTGAATGATTTGAATTGGAAAGACCTGCATGGAAGTCTGGGATCTCCTTAACATAAATGGTTGGATCAGAGTAGAGGATTTCACGGCTTGGTAGCTCAGCTTCTAGTCATGTTATTTGTGAACTAACTCTAGTAATATATTTAGAAAGTGAAGTCTAAATTGGGTTGCTATTATTTAATGTTTCAAAGCTACCAGGTAGGTTGTATAATTTGCAGATTCAGCAGTCACGAGTCATGTTTCTGAAAATCATGATTCTTTAATTTTATTTTCACTCTTAGGCGCCTCATTTGGTTGTGTGCTATATACAATTGTTACAATACTGTTTGTGTAGGCACTACTGCAGCAGCACCTTTGAGACTGCTGGGTTTAAGAAAATGAGGGTATGCTCTGTATGTTAAAGATTGTAAGAGCAGAGACCTTTAGGGTTGTTGGGGTTGTTTTCTAGGTTTTTTTTTTGCTAAAACCATACCAGGCCAAAATCCTCTAAGGAGATGAAACTCTCATAATGGAGAGTTAACATGGTGTTAAGCCATTGATCCAAACAATGCAAGGTACACCAGAAAAGCACCCTTTTTTCAGAACTTTCTGGATGGTTTAAGTGCCATTGTACAAGGCTGTCTGCAGTGCAGCCACAGTTCTGCTGTCATGGGACAGGACCTTTGTCATGCACAGCTCTAGTAGCTGTGCAATAAGACCCTGTACTGTGGTCTTCATGATTGTTGCATTTTGAATTACCATATTTTTTAAACCTAGTTTCACATTTTCCACACATTAATATGTCATTTTCGTAATTTGTTTCTAGCTAACACTCATCCCAGCCTTTGGCGGCTTCCTGGGGTTCCGGCCAAGTCCCCTCCCTGGGCAGCCATGGAAGGACCCTGCCCAGCCTGGCCCTCACCAGGCTGACACACACTGTGGGGAGGTTAATCTGAAAAGTCAAAACTGAGGCTAAGAAATGCAATAAGAGGGTTGGAGAAGCACAAAGTTAGAGGGAGAGAAAGCAGAAAAGTGGAAAATGAAGCACAGTAAGCACAGGCTCTTGACAGTCATTTTTAAATGGATATTTGTGCAGTGTGGTTTAACAGGGACAGTTAACAATCTTACTGTGGTGTAAAGTCTGAACCTGTGACCTCTGTGCACGCTTCACTGACCACAACAAGAAGTGATAGGAGATGAAAGAGAACATTTAACTTTTCACAGCCTTCATCTGCTTGGTTTTTTCTCTGTCACAGTTGACTGGTAGAACAAATTTATCATTTTCAGAGCTGGTCTGCATGTTTTCACTGTGCTCGCATGCACTAAGAAGAAAACCCCGTTCTGGCTGTTGTGCTGTGTTGTGATGCATGGCAGGAGCATGGAGACCCTGTCCCCTGGGACAGCACGCCAGGCAGCAGCTTTGTCCTGCAGTGTCCTGGTGACAGCCCTGACAGACGGTTCTGTTTCTGTAGCTCAGCTACTGTAGGTGATTGTTTCTGCACCCCTTTCTGCTGCACGTTCAGTCACCCACATGATGCAGCTGGGGAGCTCTGGAGCTTTGTTCAGGGCATTAGTTTCTTCATTCAACTTGCTGTCCCTGGTAAGATCTGTAAATGTGTTTGTCTGTGTGTGGTTTCCACCTCTGATCACAAATGATTTTGCTGTTAATGCTTGTTACTTGTTAAAAATCCAAAGGATTTTTGAATCACAGATACCTAAATTTATCTATGATACACAATTTCTACCTAATGCATTCACTGTCTTCAAAAGCATTTAATAATAATTCTGAAGTCTAAACAGCCATATCTTCCCAGCAAAATGATAGCAGTCTAACCTTATACTAAATTTTTCTTTAGTCACAAAAAACTTGATCCTAGCTATAAGCAGCAGTCAACTTGCTTGATGTTAGCTCATCAAAGAAGAGTCAGTGTATATTTAATATTTATAATATTTTGGTGTGAATTTTTGGTAGTTGAAGTACTGCTTAGTTTCATCATGAAGAGAACTATTTCCGCCATAGATGTAGTGCTTTTCTCTCATTTGCATCCACTCAAATAAATATCACATTTTTGGGGAACAAAGTACATGAAAATTGTTCTGCTCAAAGTTGTCTTTGTAATCTTAGAAAAAGTGTATTCAGTCTGAAAGTGAAAGTCTAATACTGTGCAACTGTAGAGCAGCCACTCTGGTACGAGTGAAAGGAAACATGAAGAATATAAAAATGGGAGGAGCGGGGAAAAGTAGAAATGAAGAAAGGAGAAAATAGCCTAAGAATGATGCAGTTCCATTTAGAAGGTTTTATCTTCTTTCAAAATAGCTCTCAAGAGACAGTAAGTCATTCTGTCTCTCAGCTCAGGTGCTCGCTGTGGAAGGTGAGCGCGTGGCAGGCTTGAGGAGCAGAGTCAGTGCCCTGGAGCGGGGGCAGCT